GAGTAGGAAATTCGAGCAGATTAGTTCAGGGGAACGTTCTAATTCGAATAATGTAGGAGACTCCAGGCAGCCCAGTTGTGCCAAGCATACCAGTGCCAAGTGCCAGAAAGATAAAGCAGAGTATTAAAGCATTAGAAGACAGCCAGTACACAAGCACTGCTTAGGTAGTAATGACCTAGCGAATAATTCAGACTTCTGTAGTGTATAAAAGACTTTAAATTCTGAATATAGATATATCTGGCAATTGTCTTAAAAAAAAATCTGCAATATTAAGAAAACTGGTCTATGGCCGACTCAAAACAAAAGGGAGACGTCCATAGTTTATCCAGAAGGAGACGTCTTTAGCTTATCTATGCCACCCAACTCTTGAGGAGACGCAAGTTTAACACAAGAAGTCAGGAAAACAGACTAATTCCTGAGTGTGGAACTACAAGACTTAAAAGACACCAAAACATTCATATAGGAATCCAGCTTCAGGTTATGGACAATAACCTCAATTATAAATGGTTCGAGTTTGAATAATCCAAAATTATGTTGGCCAGGTCATTACTACCTGAGCAGTGCATTCTGGGATGACTGTTTTCTGAGATATTAATATTCTGCTTCATCTTTCTGGCACACCTGGTCTGCTTGACCAGCCAACACCAAGGAACTAGTGTTGCCTAGTTCCTCGTATCAAACCTGGTTGCCTGATATTTCCCCAGGCGCTGTATAAGGAGGTATCTCTGTGTATATGCACCAAGAGGTATCAGTATATATATATATATATATTGAGAGGTGAGTATCTTTCAGTGTATATACACCTAGAGATATACACCTCTAGGTGTATATACAGTGGCATATACAGAGACACACACCTCCGTATACAGCATCTGAGGAAATATCAGAGACTCAGGTTTGATCCAAGGGACTGGGCAACACCAATTCCTTGGATCAAGAGCCCTCCGCCAGTATCAAGCCCGTCCCCTCCCTCGTGAGCAGTCACACTGAAGAAGAAACACAAGTGGTGAAACACAGACATAAACACTGGTTCTTACCGTCCTTCGCTTGCCTGTACTCTGAAAAACAAGTATGTCAGTTAAACTTGGTTCACTATATTCTGAGTTACAATTTATTCTGGATTTCAGTATGTTCTAAATGGGAATTTTTTCCCCTTTTGTCACATGTATAATTAAAGACACATATATAAATTTTGGCGGACTTCCCGGGAGATATGATAAAACATTTGGGGTTCCATTCCCGGTCAGTCCCAGTATTATTATTTACTTAAAACCACTCTAACGTGGCTGCATTTATACACATACACACAACACACACACACACACACACACACACACACACACACACACACACACACACACACACACACACACCACACACACACACAACACATATATATTTATATATATATATATATATATATATATACATAAACAACCACGGGGAAGTTGAACGATAGCTCTAGGCCTTTCGTGTTGCAATCAACACATCATCAGGAGCTTGCAATGTTGCAGGAAAGAGGAGGATGTGCAAGCAGGTACTGTGACAGGGAGAACCTTGCTGCAGGGAAGGTGCTCCCTGTCATATTTTACAAAAAATTGATCTACAGGTACAATATAACACTGTTGTTGCACTAGCAAGCACTGCTACTACTGACTGTTCTTTACCATCGCCTAATTTTCCCTACCAGTATCTAGTAATACTGTCTATTATCACTCTGCGCCACTACCACCACAACTTCCACTACCACCACTATCACCAATACCACCACTACCACTACAACTACCACCACTACTGCCCCTACCACCAAAACTACCACTACCACCACAGCTACCACTACCCTACAACTACCCCCACTACTGCCACTACCACCAAAACTACCACTACCACTACAGCTACCACTACCCCTACAACTACCACCACTACTGTCACTACCACCACAAAAACTAACCACTACCACACTACTAAATACCACCACTACCACCACAACTACCACTATCAGCACAACTATCACTGCACCACAACTACTACTACCACCACTATCACCAATACCACCACTACCACTACAACTACCACCACTACTGCCACTACCACCACAACTACACTACCACCACTACCACCACAACTACCACTACCACCACAACGACCACTACCACCACAACTACTACTATCACCACTACCACCACTACTACCACTATCACCACAACTACCACTACCACCACAACTACCACTATCACCACAACCCACCCCCACAACTACCACTACCACCACAACTACCACTATACCACTATACCACAACTACCACTATCCCCACTACCACTATAACCACAACTACCACTACAACTACCACTGCCACTGCTACCAGCACAACTAAACACAACCACCACTACCACCACAACTACCACTATCACCACTACTACCACAACTACCACTATCCCCACTACCACCATACTACCACTATAACCACAACTACCACTACCACAAACAACTACCACTGCCACTGCTACAGCACAACTACCACAACCACCACTACCACCACAGTTACCACTACCACCACAACTACCACTACCAAACACAACTACCACTACCACCACACCTACCACTATCACCACTACCACCACAACTACCACTATCACTACTACCACCACAACACCACTACCACCAATACCACCACAACTACCACTATCACCACTACAACCACAACTACCACTATCACCACTACCACCACAACTACCACTATCACCACTACCACCACAACTACCACCACAACTACCACTACCACCACAACTATCAATATCACCATTACCACCACAACTACCACTATCACCACTACCACCACAACTACCACTATCACCACCTACCTGTCTAGTCTTTGGAGATGAAGGCTCGTCATCAGTAATCTCTCTTCTCTTGCTAATTCCAGGCAGAGGTTTTGAGTAGGGGCTGTACCTGTTGGTGAGTGGGAGGATGATGGTGAGTGGGAGAGGGAAGGTGACGGTAAATGGGAGAGGGAGGATGATGGTGAGTGGGAGAGGGAAGGTGACGGTAAGTGGGAGAGGGAGGATGATGGTGAGTGGGAGAGGAAAGGTGACGGTAAGTGGGAGAGGGAGGATGATGGTGAGTGGGAGAGGGAAGGTGACGGTGAATGGGAGAGGGAAGGTGACGGTAAGTGGGAGAGGGAGGATGATGGTGAGTGGAAGAGGGAAGGTGACAGTGAGTGGAAGAGGGAAGGTGACGGTGAGTGGGAGAGGGAGGATGATGGTGAGTGGGAGAGGAAGGTGACGGTGAGTGGGAGAGGGAGGAGGATGGTGAGTGGGAGAGGGAAGGTGACGGTATGTGGGAGAGGGATAATGATGGTGAGTGGGAGAGGGAAGGTGACGGTAAGTGGGAGAGGGAGGATGATGGTGAGTGGGAGAGGGAAGGTGATGGTGAGTGGGAGAGGGAAGGTGACGGTATGTGGGAGAGGGATAATGATGGTGAGTGGGAGAGGGAAGGTGACGGTAAGTGGGAGAGGGAGGATGATGGTGAGTGGGAGAGGGAAGGAAATGTCATACAGTGAAGGTATAATATTGTTTGTGAATTTTGTAAGGTCGTGAGTGTACATATAAATACAAATATATAGTCCAGTAATAACCGACTTTTAGCATGACAGGACAAGCTGAAAAGCCAAATTTAAAAGACGGCCGTATTTAGTAATTTTTGTGAATCATAGCAACAATATGTTGACACTGTACAGTTTCGAACCTACATAAAAGTGAATCCATAATTTCATGTGAGGGCCGCATCCATTTCCTAAAAGGGCCAGAAGCGGCCCGCGGGCCGCAGGTTGGCGAGTCCTGCTTGAGACAACAAGAAAATTTCACCCTCATGCGTCAAGGGGACAGATATATCACTTCCATAACAACTATCATGGCACTCTACAATCCTCGCCAACAACACCGTCTACAACAACAACATTTAAATAAATACGCAGATGAGAGCAGCGAGCCAGGCACGTTGCCCCTGACATAGCCAGGTACGGTTTGTCAGGAAACAGGGCAAGTGTTTCCTGACGCGGGTCTTAGTCATATCTGATACACCGAGGATTACAAGACTCCGGAGGGACGAGTGAACCACCAGCGATGTGGCAGCATCATCTCAGGTTCACAACAACGCTCAGTGGTCCAGCAGCCCATCCTTTCTGTGGTCCAGCAGCCCATCATCTCAGTGGTCCAGCAGCCCATCATCTCAGTGGTCCAGCAGCCCATCATCTCAGTGGTCCAGCAGCCCATCATCTCAGTGGTCCAGCAGCCCATCATCTCAGTGGTCCAGCAGCCCATCATCTCAGTGGTCCAGCAGCCCATCATCTCAGTGGTCCAGCAGCCCATCATCTCAGTGGTCCAGCAGCCCATCATCTCAGTGGTCCAGCAGCCCATCATCTCAGTGGTCCAGCAGCCCATCATCTCAGTGGTCCATGGTCCAGGGGTGTCCCGCCGGCCGGCTGCCACGCACGTCAGGGTTCATAATTCATATTCAATATACTTTGAACATTCCTTTAGCGAGAAATACCCGCTGATACAAAAATAAAATAAAATAATCAACTTACCATTAATAATATTCGAGGCAGCAATGAAGAAAAGAAGAATGATGACATTATACAAGAATATTCCATCATTATATATTATAAAATCGCCTGAAAAATATATCATTAACTACTGAATATTAAGGAATATATTCACTTAAATAATTTTAAGGTATTGATGTATAATACAACACAAATACAATACTTATATAACGATACATATATATAACAATACGTAGAGTCATACAGGAAGACTGTAGCAAGATGTTGAATAAACTCAGTTCATATATAGGGTATTTTATGGGTATTTTTTATTAAAAATAAGACCAATATGACTCAAAAGCATATATACACGTATGTGTGTGTGTGTGTGTGTGTGTGTGTGTGTGTGTGTGTGTGTGTGTGTGTACGCCTTACGACATAGAGGTGAATGCTGGGATAGGCTGCAGTGCGTAGGGATCAGTGAACACTCTGTGCACGTCAATAGAATGGCGTCGTCTGTGGAGCCAGGAGGCTCCAGCTGCAGGTCCCAGAGCGTCCCCTGGCACGCTGAGGGCAGGGTGTGAAAGGGACGTCAGTCCCCGGCTGAGAGGTAAGGGACGGCGGGACTGTAAGATGTTCTCCAGTTTGTTACGACGTCCACGGATGGCCTGAATCTATGACACGTTACATTGGGATGGATGACGCCATCACCGTCAAAATTATTATTAATGATTAATTATTATTATTATTATTATTATTATTATTATTATTATTTTATATTCTAAAGAAAAGCTAAAATCATAAGAAACATATACAGCAATATAGTTATTTTGATTAATTATTATTATTATTATTATTATTATTATTATTATTATTATTATTAGTATTAGTAGTAGTAGTAGTAGTAGCAGCAGTAGAAGTAGTAGTAGCAGTAGTAGTAATAGTAGTAGTGGTAGTAGTAGTAGTAGCAATAGTAGTAGCAGTAGTGGTAATAGTAGCAGCAATAGTAGTAGCAGTAGTGGTAATAGTAGCACCAATAGTAGTAGTGGTAGTAGTAATAGTAGTGGCAGTCGTAGTAGCAATAGTAGTAGCAGCAGTGGTAATAGTAGTATCAGTAGCAGTAGTATTAGTGGTAGTAGCAATAGTAGCAGCAGTAGTGGTAGTAGTAGCAGTAATAGTAGTATAAGTAGCAATAGTAGTGGTAGTAGCAATAGTAGCAGCAGTAGGGGTAATAGTAGCAGTAATAGTAGTATAAGTAGCAGTAGTAGTAGAAACACAACACACACGTAAAGATATTAAACAGGATCTTGTAACTACAATAATAGGGAATAAACCTACTCACGTCCATAGCGTTGCTGGAAGACTGGAGATCCTTGCCTCTGCGTCTGAGGATCGGAGTAGCTTCCAGAGACATGGCCCACGTGTTCCTGCTGCGTTTTAACCCACAGATGTCGAGATCCTGAATCAGTCCACCACCTCAAAGACGAACTCAAGGCGTGTGTTGGAACCATCGTCCCATGATGTAGGACGATGATGAGAGGCAAGGCTGGCAGAGAGGATGAAGAATGGGTCTTTACTGAAGGAGCAGCGACGGGATTGGGTTGGTCTGGTCCTCCTGCAGAAGGAAGGTGCAGAGCTATAGTTATTCCTAAGAGCTGTTAGTCTGAATGACTGATAAGTCAATGTTAGATGTCACAAATAAGGAACGATCTTCCGACAGGGTAGCTGGAGTAAACATTACACTCTCGACGTGCCTCCTTCAGGTACTTACTAACCACTTGGTAAACTGCGTCACCTCATGCTTTTTCTTCCTGCCTAAATGCAAAATAAAAATACAAAATAACACATAACATTTAAGGTAAAAGCCCGAAGCTACACGGACTGTGAAGTAATCAGGTAACCAAGAACACATCACATGGAACCCCAAAACAATAGTAACACACAACAGCCAATGATGTGGGCATCCACACAAGCTAGCACCCACACCCAGCAGCTTAGCATAGGCAGACGCAGCAGCCTAGGACGCAAACATAGAAGAATGTGCAACAAACTAGGAAGCACACATACGCACAGCAGTCTTGGACACACATAGTACATGCAACAACCTAGAACGCACAACACACACACAAATAAATTTATGCGTGGTTCCCTCCATCCCAGGAAGTAAGCCATATCTGCTGCCCCAAACTTTCGTAATTATTACGTCAAGTTATTGACGGAGCGACATAAAGAACGACTTGGCCTTGGCGGAGGACGACAATCAAAGCGTCGTAACCAAAGTTTGTAATTACGGAAAGTGTGCTAGAGGAAGTGATCCAGGAGGAAGGCGGAGAGAAAACTGCCTGTATGTTATTGACAGGTAGTCGGCAGTACTTTATGATGCAACGTATAATTCATAACTTTTCATGAAGAGGTGAGACGAGGTCAAGCTACGCCAGGCAGGTCAAGTGAGGGCAGTTAAGACCAGTTTAACACAGCTGGCAAGCGCACATGTCTAGTGTATATAAGAATAATTATTACTATGTTGTGAGATCTTGAGACTGTTGCCTCACATTCCCTGTCTGGGAGAAATGATAGAGAGAGAGAGAGAGAGAGAAGAGAGAGAGAGAGAGAGAGATTCCCTGGAGAGCTATGGTTCAGAGCAGAGTCGTGTCTCTGGGTGAAGAGGTGGTGTTCCCCTGAGGAAGGTGGACTCTCATTATTTTGGAGTAAGTTGATGCTCAGTTTTGATGTCAGTTAATTATATTTCCCCATTCTCAAGTACTTCATTGTGTTACATCTTTCTGGGTATCTTTATTGAAAGATGTTCTGCCTGAACAGTTGACTTTATGAACCTCGTGAAGAGGAAGTCTTATACTTGAGCCAGGGAAGGACGTGTTGAGATTCAGCACTTCAAGATGAAGTCACATGTGAGCGGGGCCCACTAGTGGACTCTAACCCACTTTATGGGCCTGGCCTACTTCTGTCATTGGGCCCCGCCTACATGTGATCACGTCTTCAACTACTGCATCGCAACACACCTTCCACTGGCTCCGGTATAAAAGTTTTCATTCTTATTAGCTTCACGAAACGTGGTGTGTAGGATAGAAACGTCCCCCAGTGAAGACACCCAAGTGTTGCACACGTGTCTTATTCATTAACTACACTAGGATAGAAACGTAGAGAAAAAACATAACTTTTATAATTAATTCGAAACACTAAACCCGTGTTGGTTCATAGGCACAAAGAAAGGCGGTGGCTCGAGCCTTCATCCCCCAGAGGAAATACAATAAGAAAATATTTGCTTATCAGCACAGTAATTGAGAGATGGAGTTCACTTAGGAAATGTCGTGTATAAAAGAAATATATCGAAAGCTTTTAAAATAAGATCAGATCAATTAATGTGTGTGAGGGATAACATGAGCAGTGCTGAAGAGTGTTGTCTCAACACGCGAGATTGTCTCCTGTGTGTGTACTCACCTAGTTGTGGTTGCAGCTCCTGGCCCCGCCTCTTCACTGATCGCTAGTAGGTCACTCTTCCTGCTACAATGTTACGCAGTGTTGCTGTGTGTGTCGTATGTTGTGTGTGGTGTGTTGTGGTTGTGTGTTGTGTGTGTGTGTGTGTCGTGAGGTGTTGTGTGTGTTGTGTGTTGTGTGTTGGGTGTGTGTGTCGTGTTGTGTGTGGTGTGTTGGTGGTGGTGTTGTGTGGTGTGTGTGTGTGTGTGTGTGGTGTGTAGAGAGAGATAGAGGGGGAGGAGTGAGAAGAGAGAGGAGATGACAGAGGAGGAGGGAGAGAGAGGGAGTGAGATGAGAGAGAGAGAGAGAAGAGAGGAGTGAGAGAGAGAGGAGAGGAGAGAGAGTGAGAGAGAGAGAGAGAGTGAGAGGATGAGAGAGAGAGAAGAGAGAGGAGAGAGAGAGAGAGAGAGGGAGGAGAGAGAGGAGAGGAGAGAGAGAGGTAGGAGAGAAAGAGAGAGAGAAGAATTGTAAAGGAGAGAGAATGGAGAGGAGGAAGAGAGAGAAGTCAGTGAAGAAGGAAAGAGAGAAAGCTTTAGATAAGAAGATGAATAGAGTGAGAGGGAAGAGATGAGAAGAGAGAAGAGGTTGTAGAGAGAGGAGATTGAGTGAGTGTAAACCTAGTGTGAGATTGCAGACCTGGCCCCGCAGAGAGAGGTAAATTTTGCAGAGAGCAGTGGGAGAGTATGTGGTGTGGAGGAGAGAGAGAGTGTGGTAGGGGAGAGAGGTGTGTGTGTGGATGAGTGAGTGAGAGAGAGTGAGATGTGAGTGTGAATGGAGAGAGACGTGTGTAAGAGAGGAAGAAGAGAGGGAGAGAGAGAGAGAGAGAGAGAGGAGAGGAGAGAGAGAGAGAGGATGAGAGAGAGGAGAGGTGAGAGAGAGAGAGAGAGAGGAGAGAGAGAGGGGAGAGAGAGAGAAGAGAGAGAGAGAGAGAGAGAGAGAGAGAGAGAGAGAGAAGACAAGGGAAGGGAGAACATTCAACAACATTAAAACACTTTTCTGCTATTTAGGGATAAATATTTAACAAAATCGTTCTAGCCTTCACGTTGTTAGCAGAGCTAAGAAGAGCTGACCACACACACACACACACACACACACACACACACACACACACACACACACACACACATACATGGCTACCACCATAAACCCAGATCACATCCTGCACATGAACAGGGAAGGAACTGATCATCAAGGTGGGAGATCAATATAGACGAAAATGTCTAGAAGCTGCTTTAATCAATATATCCAACACCGTTACACAAGACGCAGGTTTCCGACTTGCTGAACCCTTGGCACACATACTACAAAAAAACAGAGTAGGGAATGGCAAAGAAAACCTAAACGGGGTAGAGGCTCGGGTGAAAAAAGATTGCAAACCTCACTCAAGGAGAAGGGCCTCGGGATGACATAGTACCAATCATATCGTCTGAGACGAACATCAACCGAATAACTCACAGCAAAGGCGCGTCTGGCAAATCTAACATTAGCTTTCAGGAACCTCAACAAGGAGTCATTCACGACACTATATACGCCATATGTCAGGCCCATGTCAGAGTGTGCACCACCAGTATGGAACCCACACCAGACCAATCATGTCAAGAAGCTGGAAAAGGTGCAAAGATTTGTAACGAGACTAGTCTCGGAGCTACAAGCAGAGGAGAGGCTAGAAGAGCTAAACCTGAGGACATTAGAGGCGACATGATCACGACATACAAAATGCAAAGGGGAATCAATAGGGTGAACAGAGACATGCATGCTTTTCGAGAGGCGGAAAACAGGAACACGAGGGCACAGCTGGATGCTACAAAGATGAGTCACAGGGATGTAAGAAAATATTTCTTCAGCCTTAAAGAGTGATCAGAAAGTGGAACGACCAGGTCAGCAAAGTGGTAGAGGCAAGATCCATACACAGTTTTATGAATAAACATGATAGCACTCACGAAGCCAGGAGAGAGCGAACCAGTAGTAGTTACCGGAGGAACGGGGTCAGGAGCTGAGACTCGACCCCTGTAACTATATATAAGTACATATACGTGAAAACACACACAAGAAATTGGTAAAGTCAGTCGAATGCGGTTCAAAAGCTATAATCACAAACTAAAGTCTCGACCCCTGGAAACATACCACAGTAAGTACAACTAGGTGAATACACAATATACACCCTCCCAAGCGTAGGATAGACACGCACGTTAATAATTACACGTAGTTTACTGCTTCTGTGTAACACAGCCAGGTGCTGGGTTCCTGGTAGCCTATCAGAGTCTTAACACAAACTTGGCAGCAACACTTGTAAAACTGTATCTGCAGAACAATATTTACACTGTTGCTGTTTTTAAGTGTATTAGTATTAATGTAGTTATTATTATTACTATTAATATTATTATTATCATTATTATGATTATTATAGCCATTATAGTAATAATTATAATTATTACTATACTTATAATTATTATTGTTATTACCATTATCATCATCAATAACAGTACTGACTAGCACATCAAATCAGGCCAGGTTAACACCCAGGTGCTTCCTTCATCAACACTACTCAGAACAGTCTTCAAAGTAAGGCTTGTCGGCACATTAGAAGAGAAATCGATGAGTTTAAGCATTAAAGATTTACCTGTAGCCTACATCCGTGTGAGAGCCTCGAGATTTCTTTTCTCACCACTGCAAACAAACAGACGTGTCACATTACCAGATTGGTTAGATGATTGGTTGGACTTAAAGCTTATAACTACAAAGACTGGTTTGCATTTCTGTTATTGGTTTAAATTTTTGGCTTGCAGTGGATGTTGTAGTGATGTAATGTTGAGGAAGTCTTCTGCTTCAGAGTTTACATTATGGTTGAGATTTATCTTATTTCTTCAGAACACATGCGTTTTTCTTATTTACTCATTAAGGAAAGTGAATCGTCTCTCGTATGCTAATATGTTGGAGGTAGTTGAAGTGGGGATTTTTAGGTGCTCGAGTTTGAAGAAAGTAGAACAGTACATGTAGGAACTAGCAGATCCACTATTCATCATAATGAAATGTGTTACGTTAAACATATCTATGGAAGAAGTAGCAAGGTCAGTAGATTGCAAGATGTTGTTAATGCTAGACTGAGGCTAGTTTAAAAGTATCTCTGGCAGTACGGTGACATAAAGTGCTAAGAATGTGGACAGAGATAGGGCCATATACTGGAGTATTATATCTAAGTGTCCAAATATTCCATCCTTTCAGAGACACCTTCATGCAAACGTTAAAGGATGTGGCAAAACACTTCATTGTTAATGATATCTGAAATCTTGAGGTTGTATACATATTATGCATAGACTTTATAAATGATTGAACTGTGCTTTTATAGAGGTTGCAACCTAGTTATGACCAATGCTTTTCAAATGGTAACAACGTTATCACTTTTTTGTGTTGTGTACTTTAAGTATTTGAAGTAATTGTGACATATGTAATGACTAATATTTCTTTCTAGTGATGCAATAATGCTGAGTGGGAGTCTGACAGACACAGTGTGGTCTCAGTAATCTTAGTTTGTTTTGCTCTACTGCTCACAGGATGAACTTGGGATGCACAGTAAACCAGGCACTCAGGTAGCACAACTAATTGAGTCCCTTATCCTGGATAGAAGTTGTTCATTACACTATATATACACCTAGAGGTGTATGTCCCTCAGTGTATATACACCGAGTTTACTTTCATCCCTATTTAAGGGATTAAAGTATTCATGACTAGTGGTTGAATGGTTACATGCGGTCTCAGTGACCCTCGTGAAGTCAATAGGTTTTAGACCCCATTAACCAACCATAGCATTGACTACAGAACTGCGTACCACGCTCACGTAGCAGATCGTCAGGTCCTCACTAGGTGGACTACTACCTAGCAATATACGTTGCGTGTAGTCAGCAAGCCACAGGTTGAAGGATAAACTAATGCCTTGAAATTCTGGATTTTTTTCTTCCCTGGCAACTGCTTGTCGTCACAACACAGACGAGTGACTCGTCAGGTTGTAGTCACAGGTGTTGTGCTGCTACACAATACTCTGTCATTACTCACTGTCATGCTAATTATTACCTGGTTAATTGGGGTTTCAAGCCTACCAGCTACTCCAAGGGCCATTAAGGTTGCGCATCACCTGTTCGCCAGCAGTCAAGAATGTTATCTCTAAAATATGGATTAAGGTATATACACGGAGAGACTTACACCTCTCGGTGTATATATCCTGCCATGCCGCTAGCAGGAAATACCTTCATACATGGTGAGGAAAACTCCACATAAAGTTGAAAAAAATGCTTCCTTGTTTTTGGCTCCTTGTGTGTGGTTTTCCTTTGTCTTTAACACTGTGTATTACACTGCGATGTACCACCATCACTACACTTCCAGTCTCTTCTACAGAAATATTAAAGTATTTGGGCTGAATTTATTGTATGACTTGATTTTTTGCTCTGCAGCTAGGCTGAACTCTGAAGCTAGGCTGAACTCTGAAGCTAGGCTAAACTCTGAAGCTAGGCTAAACTCTGAAGCTAGGCTGAACTCTGAAGCTAGGCTGAACTCTGAAGCTAGGCTGAACTCTGAAGCTAGGCTGAACTCTGAAGCTAGGCTAAACTCTGCAGCTAGGCTGAACTCTGCAGCTAGGCTAAACTCTGCAGCTAGGCTGAACTCTGAAGCTAGGCTGAACTCTGAAGCTAGGCTGAACTCTGCAGCTAGGCTAAACTCTGCAGCTAGGCTGAACTCTGAAGCTAGGCTAAACTCTGAAGCTAGGCTGAACTCTGAAGCTAGGCTGAACTCTGAAGCTAGGCTAAACTCTGCAGCTAGGCTGAACTCTGCAGCTAGGCTAAACTCTGCAGCTAGGCTGAACTCTGAAGCTAGGCTAAACTCTGAAGCTAGGCTGAACTCTGAAGCTAGGCTGAACTCTGAAGCTAGGCTAAACTCTGCAGCTAGGCTGAACTCTGCAGCTAGGCTGAACTCTGAAGCTAGGCTGAACTCTGCAGCTAGGCTGAACTCTGCAGCTAGGCTGAACTCTGCAGCTAGGCTGAACTCTGAAGCTAGGCTGAAAATCTGAAGCTAGGCTGAACTCTGAAGCTAGGCTGAACTCTGCAGCTAGGCTGAACTCTGCAGCTAGGCTGAACTCTGCAGCTAGGCTGAACTCTGCAGCTAGGCTGAACTCTGCAGCTAGGCTGAACTCTGCAGCTAGGCTGAACTCTGAAGCTAGACTGAACTCTCTGCAGGCTTATATAATATTTATCTCAAAGAAGGCACTTTTTTTTTCATTCCAGCTGTTACGGAATTCATACTAAAAAAAAAAAAAAAAAAAATGATACGCTGCCTTTATTCTGGCATCGTAATTTAAACACTGCTGGCCAGGTAAAGTTTCTCGCCACAATGTTTATTTTGAAACTCCTCAGGCCGATGGCCTCTGCCTTTTATATACTATTACGGTACGCTTTCTTGTACTTTATGTTGGGTGTATATTCTACCACTCTATCGTATGAATCTATTTTTAATGCATTGCTTCCATTTTTATTACTAATTACTCCTCCAGCCCTCCTGCAAGTACACTTACACTGGAATAAGTGGCAAGTGTTATTAAGGTCAGGGATATTATGTTAGGGCTTGGCGTCAGTCGAACTTATACCCAGTTATTAGAATTATTAACAACGACGCCAATGGCTACTACTACTGCCTTAGCCTGGGTAATTATCCCACCGTAAATGCTACTCACTTAACACAGCACGCGAGTGATGTTTTTGTGTAGGTGTTTCAGACATGGAAACTGTTGAGTGAGAGTTGTAGGGTTTGATGCCAGTCGTGTAAGGGATTCTTTAATTTTAATAATACTCAGCTAAATCACCCAGTGGGATATATCTGTTGTGAATGTTCACTTATTTCTTCATTTTAAATAATTGTAACAGGTGCTGAAGGGGAGTTGTGTCACGACATCAGTCAACACCCACAGGAACCATAAACAGTACCACGTAAAAACTAGATCCACTTATTCCATTCCTCTCCTGAGTCCTTGTTCGTCTGTAATCATAGGGATACACAAAAAAAAGTCTTGTTGGCGTATCATTTCATACACTCAAATTTGCCCGCTCTTAAATTATACAAATGAACTAAGCTTCCTCTTAGTCCTTACCTAACACTGCCTCTATACGTACAGTAAACTAATGCACCATTTAAAACTTACTGTTTTTCCCACTTTTAACTTTGACTGTTACATTGTTCACATCTGGCTCCTCCTGTCTGCTCTATGCATGAAAACTTCACTTGTGTTTCATTATCTACATAATGTTTCAAAATATTCTCTCCCTCCCTCTGATACCTCTGCCTAATTATCACAACATATTTCAACTATCACTCTTCATAAGAAGTCCAGTTGATCACTAGGTTTCTCCATTTATCTCTGTACAGAACTATTCTCAGCAAAATACAGTTATAATGCTACTTTCATGTTTACGTTTTTGTTTTGCTCTCCTTTCCTATTTCTTTAATGTTTTATTTTTCTAAATATCCTGAATATTCCACAATCATTTTTTTTTTTTGCATTGTGGAAGTCTCTCATACGTATTACCTCCCTTCAGGCTAGTACGTTTGTTATAATTATTTGTGTATGTCTGAGGACCTAGAGACGACTTCAGGGGGTACCGCCCCCCTCGGCTGTGTCCCAGGAATGATTAATGTTGTCGCAGCCCCCCCTTACTCCCTTGTCGCTGCTGTACACAAGACCAACCTGGGGAACTTGACAACGTTCTGGAACTTCACAATGCTCTGGAACTTGACAACGTTCTGGAACTTGACAACGCTCTGGAACTTGACAACGTTCTGGAACTTGACAACGCTCTGTAACTTCACAATGCTCTGGAACTTCACTTTTTGGAACTTGACAACGTTCTGGAACTTGACAACGCTCTGGAACTTCACAATGCTCTGGAACTTGACAACGTTTTGGAACTTGACAACATTCTGAAACTTCACAACGCTCTAGAACTTCAGTACGTTCGGGAACTTCACAGCGCTGTGGAAATTATCCACGCCGTGGAACGTGAACCTCACTAAGTCATGGAACTTGACCACACTGTGGAACTTGAAGGCACAGTAGAATTTCACTGCACGCACCTCGGCATTGTTAGTAGTGTTGTTTACGTTTTGATGCGTTAAACCCGTAAGGGGGTCACACAGCGCCTGGGGAATGGAAGGTAATCAGATCCGACCCGTGGAAAACTAGGGCAGGCCCCATACTGTGATTTAGAGCACATATGGTCTTCAGGTGCACATAGGGAGCCGTGGAACAGCACACTGGACCGGCGGAACACAGCACACTGGACAGGAGGAACACACCTCACTGGACCGGAGGAACACAGCCCACTGGACCGGACCGGCAGACCACACCACACTGGACTGGTGGACCATGCCACACTGCCATCACATAGCGTGTGCTACTCCCTCCCCTGGAGACTCACCTAGGGGAGGGAGAGCACCAAGGATCAGCAACCTACTTAGTACTTACGGAAGTGATAGTGGAGTGAAGGAAGTGTTAGTAGAGGAAATAATAGTGAAGTGAAGGAAGGGATGAAGATAGGAAGTAGTGGTGGAGTGAAGGCAGTGATATGAAGGATGTGGTGGTGGAGTGAAGTTGCGCTGAAGTTAAGTGGTGGTGGTATATAGTAAGTTGTGACGGAATGAAGTGGTGGATTGGAGTAAGATGAATGAAATGATAATGTGGAGTAAGTGGTGGTGGAGTGAAGGAGGAAGAACTTTATATATCATAGGTTAGACCTCAGATTATGTTGCTCAGTTTTGGTCTCCATATTACAGGATAGATATTCATGAGCTGGAAAATATACAGAGAAGGATGACCAAGTTGAGTCCATGTATTAGAAACATTACCTGGTAAATAATGAGTAAATAAATATTGTGGAGAGCAGTGAGAATAATGGGTAGGTTGGTTTGAAAACGGACTTCGGTAAGGGCGATATATGTTGTTATGTAGGATAACGATGAAGAAGTTTCCTGGGAGGTTCAGCTAAATGTAAAATATTTTTCCCTGGTTGAAATTGTTAGATATACAGATAAGTGATGACTCCAAGATTCTGCGGTACTGACTGTCTTCCCCTCTGTTGATGGGTCTTGTGTCTTTTTTTATTTTAAATATTCTGGAAGCTTCAGTGAAAAAACGTAAGGCGTTCCTTAAATCGTCCCATCCTGCCTGCGTATTGGTGTTCTGAAATACGTGTTTGGAGGTCTTTGGATGTCTCGCCCACGTATTATTGGTTGCAGTCCTTGCAAGAGATTATGTATACCCCTGCAGAGGATTGAACCTTGTTGTGTCTCTTCTAGTGATGTCTTTGATGGTTGTGGATGTGGTGGATACCTGGAATGAGGTATTGGAAAAGATGCTGGAAAAGTATTTGGCAATTGAGTTGGCAGTATCTGGTCAGGGTGAGTTGAAGATGTTATATTTCCGGTGTCTGCAGTCTCTAATGAAGTGACGAGGATAGTTAAGTTTAGAAAATACTTGTTCAATAAGAGAGCATTCTTCCTCAAGGAACACATTGCTACAGATTCGGAGGGCATGAAGGAAAAAACCTGTTATTACACCACGTTTACTTTTGGTGTGGTGGCGAGAGTAGAAGAGAAGATCGTGTTGGTTGGAAGGTTTTCGAAAAAAATTTAAACGAATTCGTGGTTAGCTTTGTTGACAACGTAAACCTACCAAGCACCAACGGTTGTGGAGTGAGGAGAGTGGAGTGAGGGGGTGGAGTGACGGGGGGAATGAGAGGATACTCATGGCTACCTTCAATACATAAGTGTTGCCATAAACAACGTCAACAATAACTAACAGGTGTTGCAGTGTTGCCACCTTTACATGAATTCCTTGATAAGAGTCTTCAATAGCTGAATATGTTGTTGTTGTTTTACTATTAATGTTTTTAATACAAGATAAGGTAAACAAGCACATACTCCAACAGAACGTCAAACTCTGAGAACCACTTCGCCATTCGTTCGATCTAGCACCCTCATAAAGTCCTCCTGGATACTCAAAGCTCCTAAAATATAAAAACCTTTCACCCACTCCCTCGAACCTATTTGTCATTCTTTCCTGCTTTGTCCTTTCTAAAGGGATAAATGCCCTTAACAGCCCCCTCTTCCAATCCTGTGAATTATATCCATGTTGACCCCCCGACATCACCATTAAATTTCTCTGCTCCTAATACTCTGCATAATCGCACCACACATTGCTCTCCAACATGATATCTCCGCTGCCTCCAGCCTCCTCCTTGCTGCAGTGTTCCACAACCTATGCCTCACACTCGTATAAAAGTGTTGGTGTCACTATTCTCTGCTGGATTTTCTCATTAGCTTCCCTAAATAAGCATCTTTCTTTCCACAGGTAGCTCAGTGTACCATCTACTTTCCCCTCGTCTACTTATTATTCACCTCATTCGTAGACCCATCTGCCAACACGTCCACTCCTAATGATCCAAATACATTCACTTCCTCCACATTCTCTCCCTCCAATCTGATATTTGATCTTTCGTAGCTTAATCTTTTCGTTACCTTCATCTCTTTGCTCTATTCTATGTTCACCATTAATTTTCTTTATACACCCTCTGTAACCCCTTCACCAGCCTCTGAAACTTCTCTTCAGAATCTCCACAAAGAACTGTATCATCAGCAAAGAGCAACAGTACCGATGCTAACTTCGTAGCAGTAGTCATTGTCTCTCAATCCCACATCTCTCCCAAACATTCTATTACTCACTTCTTTTACATTATTATAATCATGGGGGAGCGCTAAACCCATAGGACTTCTTTTGCAACTCCACTTAAATACATTAAAAACCACAATGACCACACATCGCTATCAAAGGTTTATTTTTTACTTTTTCTGGAAAATAGTTCCCTTCGCCCCTACATACCCTAACCTGGACCTAACTCTTCACATTAAAACTCTTTACTGCTGTTAGTAATCTATTTGTGCCAAACATTTGCAGTACATGTCACATTGCTCCCTTATCCACCCTCTTATATACAATTTCCAATTCTTTAAATGCAACAAACAGCTCTTTATCCCTGTCTACATATTTTCCACTTATATGTTTCAATGTGTATACGTGATCTACATATCTCCAACCTGTCGTAAATCGTCATTGCTCTTTTGCAGTCTTACTTTCTGACTTATACCTTAAACTTTCAGTAATAATTCAAGCATACACTTGTACCCGGTGTACTCAACACTTGTACCCGGTGTACTCAACACTTGTACCCGGTGTACTCAACACTTGTACCCGGTGTACTCAACACTTGTACCCGGTGTACTCAACACTTGTACCCGGTGTACTCAACACTTGTACCCGGTGTACTCAACACTTGTACCCGGTGTACTCAATTCTTGAGTACTATTTGCATTATTTTGTCCCTATATCCCTTCATAAACCACATACTGTAAATGCTCTCACTGCTTCCCTTTCGTTATTTAACTAACGGAGATAAAATAATTTGTAGCAAAATATTTTACCATCTTCATCATAAGTTCATTATTATTTTCATTTAAGTCATAATAGTTATTTAAAACAGGTGAGGAAATGATATTCAACTTTTTTTTTCTTTTTTTTCTCTTTTATATTTTGTTTATTAATATATATATATATATATATTTATTTATATATATATATATATATATAATATATATATATATATATATATATATAATATATAATATATATATTACAGGGCAGTAAATTTGTGAAAAGAAATATGTGGAAATATTATATTCATGGGGAAGCGTTAAACCCGTGGGGGGTCATAGAGCGCTTGGAGAAGGGGAGGTATTTTATGGAAGTGAACAGCTCCAATTCCTTGAATCAAGAACCCCTCACCATGAAGGGTGTGAGTGACACATGCAGGACAGACGCCTTAACATGCAAGAACATAACCGATTTACATTATTCAAAATTTTCCTTGGAACAAACACTCACACAGTGAACTAATTACTGTTAAGTGATTTTTGAAACTGACTTTGTTTTTATTCTCGATTTAATGTCAGTTTTGAAATGATAAAAATTAGAAATGTAAAAAATTACCATAAACAGATACTAAGATTATTTTGAGTGCAACGAGAGTAAAAGTTATATAACAACACAGTCTTTTTTGTAGCCAAAGTTGTATTTCATCAGCAAATTCCATTTGTCTACATGTATACATAGGCTGACACCACAATGTTCACACACCACTCCAGGTTATCGCAAACAATACGGTCTTACTACAACATTAATTTCACCCTCGTCCAGGCCTATGAGAGATTTCCTTCATATCTCTTTTATTCTAGAACAAAGAAAATCTTACATGGGCCGGTAGGCTGCCTCTTGTAGCTGAATAAAACTCATTATTTCGACGCACGTGAGTTCTGCGCTATTTAAGCTCTTTGGTTTTCATATTTTTCATGGCCGTGAAAAAACCCACACCTGGGTAAAGCGTTTCAAAACCCAACTCCACAGCAACTGGTGTCCCATTTTACCAGTTTTCAGTATCCCGCATCCACAGTATATCATTTTCGTTTACATTATAAATTTCATTGTTTTTATCCTTTTCATTATTATCGTTCACCTTTTCCTCATCATTCGCTTGATCGTTTGACTCTTTGTCGTCCTCATGCGCCTCTTCCTCTTCCTTCGCCCCGTCGTGGTTATCCTGTGGCAGTGTCTGCCTCTCCTGCTCGTGATCCACAGACAAGTCATCGAGGATGGCTCTCACTTTCTGAGCAATCTGGTCGTTTCCGTGTTGCAGATGTCGCTGTAAGAGGCTCACGCCGTCACACTCGCGTATTGCCTCCTTGACGGCAGCCGGATCATTAGATTTCTGTGAGGAGAAGAGTTAAATATTATAATACATTGAAAAGTCAACAAAAAAACGTTTTGGTCTATGCAAATATTACCTTAAAAAAAAACTGTCTAAGTTACTGCTATAAATTTGATGTGCCGAGCTATTTTGATCACCAGAGAACTCGTAGTGACTGTCCAAACTTTTCCTTATGTTATTATATTCATGGAATACTCTAAAACCATATCCCCTCAAGGAAGGTTCCTTGATGTTGGTGAGGGGCTCTTGATTTAGGGAATTGGATCTGTGCTCGTTTCCCAAATTAAGCCTGAATGCCTTCCACATCCCCCCCCCCAGGCGCTGTATAATCCTCTGGGTTTAGCGCTTCCCCCTTGATTATAATAATAATAATAATAATAATCTAAAACCATATTGATGTTGGCGAGGGGCTCTTGATTTAGGGAATTGGATCTGTGCTCCAGTTCCCTGAATTAAGCCTGAATGCCTTCCACATCCCCCAAAGCGCTGTATAATCCTCCGGGTTTAGCGCTTCCCTCCTTGATTATAATAATAATCTAAAACCATAGGGACTCGTACAGTACCACCATAATGGTAGATAATCAGCTTTGATCCGAGGAAGGGAAAGCTAGCTCCAATTTCTTGGATGTCAGTGCCTTTCACCAGCATAAACACACTAACCCATGATTAGAGGCTGAAGCAGATATTATTTTATTTTTATCAGGGGGGGAAGCTGTAAACCCGTTGTAGTTATATAGGAAGCATCCAGATTCGATGCGGTTCCTTGGATTAAGAGCTCTTCAGCAAAGTAGTTACATAACTGGTAAACTGTGAAGCTGTAAGAGCAAGTGTTTTTCAGAGAAATTCACTTAGTTTGATCTTAAGCTTATAAGTTTTAAAATGTTCATAAAGCTTCGCTCACTCAGTTTTCATTCATGTGTTTTAATCAAATAATGACACAGACTATTAATGGAAAAGAAAATTATATCTGACAACAACAAAGACTTAATATAACTGAAGACTTAAATAAAATCTGATAACACTGAGTGCTGGTTAAGATAATAATGAAAAAATATTACAAAATCTGATGACACAGCTCTTGAATATATTATAACAGCAAAGTTAATCAGATAATCAAGTCTTCAGTCCGTATCTTACTTTCAGAAATCTGTCGGTACTCTCTACGCCCAAAGATACGAGGATGGGGTCAAGGTCAGCCAGCAGGGCCAACATATGTCGTATGACATCCTCGTGCAGTAACACATCCACCTGTTCTCTGGTGCCTACGTCAGTTATGTTGGAGAGAGCCCATGCTGCTTCCTTTCGTATGGGAAATTCATCCTGCCAAACGAATGATTAATTTTAATCAAATTATTCAGTTAGATGAAACTATCACCAGTGATGCTGTTTTTAGACTGTTAATAATGTTAAGTGATAACTAATACCAGCAGCACCTCACCGATTGGACAGCCAGTCCCAGTTCTGTCAGCAGTCCAGAAGATATGACTTGTTGGATCTGGTCGGATGTACCGGCCGTAATGTTGGAGATAGCCCACAAAATCTCCTTCCTGGTCTTAACATCACTGCAGTTTGCCAGCAGGCGTGTGTAGGCTGGTAGCACTCCAGCCACCAGTACCGCATCAGTCTGTAATAAGGTGGGATCCCCTAGATAAAAGGGTGATTGGGAGACGAAACAAACGAAAAAAAGAGTACAACTGTCTAAGGGTAGGGAAAATGTGTAAGATAAAAATAAATCTAAAACAGTGTTTATTCAAATTCTGATAATGTCAAATTATGTATGTATGTAAAAGAAAATTTAAACCAGAGCTACAGATACACAAAAGGTTTCCCGAAGTCCTTCACCTGACTGTCTGTTCCGGTCATGATGTTACCCACAGCCCTCAACGCTGAAGACAGCATGTTACTCTCACTGGAGTCTAGGTGGGCCACCAGCTGCTCAACCATCCCTGCCTCCACCACCTGCTGGATATACTCGACGCCCTGATCAGTGAAGTTCGCCATCGCTTTCAGGGCCTCCGCTACGAACAGGCACAGTGTGGAGTGAGAGAGAGACAGGTACACAAGTCGGTAAATGCATACTAAACAGGTACAAAGGCAGGTATGTAAGAAATCAAGCAAGGAGGTGGCATTGAAGGGCACATCTGGTTGCTTAATTAATGAAGGCTTCCTTCAAAACTCAGTCCTTCATCATGACTTGATAAAACAAAAACGCTTTGATAAAACCAAACGTTATTCCACTGAAAGCATCCTCTGCAATTTCTCTTTGCCTTCAGGCTTTTCTGAACACTCCATTTCATCCTGTGTGGTAACGAGGTTTTCCCCAACCACAGCTGCCAATGTGGTGTTTAATTATGCAGTAAATAATGTTCAGAAGAATACAGTATACTAGCGTAGTGCGTCATCCCAATGGGTTACTATTATTTCTCTTAGTGATTAAAGCTGTACACAGATTATTTAAGAAGTAGCATCAACAAATTACAATATGACCATCTCTAATTACTGATTTACTAAGAAAGTCTCAATTTACTTTTTTTCTGTTAGTAGTTAGTACAATGTTTATTTTAAATTATTTGTTACCGTTGCGTAGGTTTTATACAGAAGTGTATATCACAAAGTGCATTTACAGCCTCAATAACTTACACATTCGATAAGCTTTAAACTTAACTAACCATCCAATATTACTTCTGGATTATTTTAACAGCTGATGTACGGTTGAAATGCAACCTTTAATAAATCACAGAGTCGATAGGCTTTCAACCTAACAAACTAATCAACCATTTTACTTAATCGTTAAGATGTTCTTAAAATTAGTTTTCTTTTAATTTTTAAAGTTATTCTTCATTAAAATTACTGTTACAGTTTTACCGTTTGCTAAATGAGCTTTGCATTCCTGATATTGGGGAAGTTTTGTGACTTCACCCCCTAGTGTTATTCCTACATATGTTGATATATAGTAGCTTGGCAAGACCTATCATGATTTATTTCCCTGAAGGACTGTACGCTGTTGGTGTCCACATACATGATAGTGCATTTTTGGTCTGTAAAACTTTTCAGTGTTAATTCGAGGCGAGGGAATGGGCCTCCCATTGCATCATCTCTTACCTTGGGTCTGCGTGTTCTTATGGTCTAGAAGTTGATCCTTCAACGCCTGCAAGATGAGGGACACCTCCTCCATGGACATATTAAGGGGCTTGTGGAAGAACAGGTTGCACAGTACCCAGGCAATGATCCGGGTGAAAGAGTCCTGGATATATAAACAAAGACATGGGTAAGGTTGTCTGAACATGTAAATATGGAGGACTGATGGGAAAGAGGACAAGTTACAGGTGTAGGATAAAGATGAGAATTTTGAGGATATAGACACACATGTACACTAACACACACAGTTATGTTATCAGTTGTCATTATAAACAAAGTAATAAAACTATATGGATCGTACAGCACTGCAATAAAAACAGTGCACTGGTGTCAGGAAGGTTTGGAATGAGGTACGCTTTAGATTGTTAGGTAAGACACATATGCAACAGTTAGGTATCTTTATTTCGAAACGTTTCGCCTACACAGTAGGCTTCTTCAGTCGAGTACAGAAAAGTTGATTGAAGCAGAAGAGATTTGAAGACGATGTAATCAGTCCATCACCCTTAAAGTTTTGAGGTGGTCAGTCCCTCAGTCTGGAGAAGAGCATTGTTCCATAGTCTGAAACAACATTGTTTCAAACTTTGGAACAATGCTCTTCTCCAGACTGAGGGACTGACCACCTCAAAACTTTAAGGGTGATGGACTGATTACATCGTCTTCAAGTACCCTCTGCTTCAATCAACTTTTCTGTACTCGACTGAAGAAGCCTACTGTGTAGGCGAAACGTTTCGAAATAAAGATACCTAACTGTTGCATATGTGTCTTACCTAACAAGCTGTCGGTATTTTATACCATTTTAATGTTCACGCTTTAGATTGTTTATTCAAGTTTTCCTTGATTATCAACTGTGGGAGGGTAGATTCACTTCCATGAACCAAGAACTCTTCACCAGCATCAAAGTACTCCTCTTGAAGGGACGTACCGGTGTGGAGTTGTTGAGGTGGGCCAGCAGGAGCTTGACGACCCCGGCAGTCACAAGTTGATCCCGGAACTCACGCCTGTCAGCCGCGATGTTGGAGAGTGCCCAAGCTGCCTGCTCCACCACTGCGCTGTACGGTGCTCCTAGCGCCTCCACCAGCGGCTCCACCAAGCCTCGCTCTGCATGCAAGGCAAAATGCTCATACGTAGGCCAATGCAAAGGCTGAGTGTTTTCAAGCGATGACATGAAGAAGCTCAGCTCTAGTGAAATATAGTCTACTACTACTACTACTAACATATTATTATTGATTATCATTACTACTGTTGTTTTTATCATAAAATTATAGGCAGAACAGGGAAAGCACATACCAACTAGTGTCTGAGTGAAGCGCGACTCTCCTGAAGCTATGTTGGTGAGCACCCACACTGTCTCCAACACAAGGGTTTGGCTGTGGAGAGGGTGGGAGGGTCAGTCACACTACTGGCAATTAAGTGCTAAACCCGTAAGGGTCAGATAGCGCCTAGGAAAGTGCAATGCCATCAGGTTCAATCCAAGGAACGTCAGGTCCAATTCTTTGGGTCAAGAGCCCCTTATTGATATCAAGGAACCTTCCCTGAGGTGTCCGAAGTCTATCGACTACATGCGGGTCCTTCAAGTTTGCAGGTCACCTATTCACCACGAGTCAAGAATACTTTAATCCCTATTTTAGGGACTGATGTAAGCTCTCAGTGTAAAATACACTGAGCGATATATATCTCTTGATGTACATATGCTGTGTAATTAATAACTAAGTGAACAGATGCTGAACACAAAAATATGTAACCCAAAGATTTTAGCAATTGTTGGGAGGATTTTCAAAATTATTTAAGTTCACCCCACCATGGGTAATATTTTTTTAATGTTGATTAAGAATATGAATTCAGAAAGATAAAAACAGATCACTTTAGCATGATACAATGCATGTTTTTTCTCTGATTTCATCACAAGTGTGAATCCGTTACAGCACATCAACGTTCTCATCAAAACTATTTTAACCTTCAATGGAAGCTATATACAGAGATTTCTTTTCACATTTGTGGGCAGTAATTGATCAACCAAACAGTTCCATCGCGCCTATTTCCATTTTAAGAGAAATCCCCCCCCCCCCAAAAAAAAAAAAACTGCTGATTTTTTGGGGTGAAAACTTTTCCTCTTAAAATGGGGAATAGGCGCGATGGAAATGTGTGTTTGATCTATTACTGCCCACAAACGCGAAAAAATCCTATATATATAGCGTTGATTGAAGGATAAGATAGTTTTGATGAGATCGTTTGCGTGCTCTAACAGGAGGGAGAGGAGGAAACATGCCTTGTATCATGCTAAAAGATATGGTTTTACATTTTTAGGTTCATATTCTTAATCAGCATCAGTAATAGTACCCGTGGAGTGATTTTGAGCGTTTTTGAAAACCTACCTGATAATGTATACACAAAATGCATACGCTAAACAGGGTATATATGGGGTCCACTTGTAGCGCAGACTGTGGGGATCCACAGCTTTGGAGATGTAGATAAAAAGTCTCGATTGAAAAATATTTGGAGTTCTCCCTTGAGCTGTTTGAATGTTCCATTTCTACCACACCATCTTTCTTAACTGCACAAAAAATGGGGTATACAAGTGAAAAAAAAAATTAAGAGAGTGGAGATGTTGAAATCTTAATTAACTACCTGGCTGGGTGTTGGGTAAACAAATTACTCAAATAACAACTTTGTGGTTAACTTCACACGAGATTTTTTTAATAATAATCAGGTGAAAGGATGAACCTATAGGGTTTGCATCACGCGTGGAGACTAGGAGTCTCATGACGGTCTGGAGTTTTGAGACTGATCGCGGGTTCTACCCCGCCCGTGGTATGGTATTTTTAGGAAGCATTCAGGTTCAATCCAATGAAAAAGGATGAGTCTACTTCCTGGAATCAAAGTCCCTTTTTTTTTACACAAGTCATTCTGAGCGAGGCTGTTTCAAATTGATGCATAATAACATACATGGAAAGCATCGGGGATAAATCTCAAGGATAATACAAATTTCGGAGGACAATTCGGAGGTATAACTGGTTGTACACAATAAGCCCTGGAACACAGAACTATTAATGTATACAGAGGAAAGAGTTCAAATCATAAGGAATTATGATGAACCTTGGGAATGAGAAACAATTAGGGGATCAAAAGTTCTTCACCCTGATTAGGTAAATAAACCTTTATTATCCATGAATTAGAATGTAAATTACAATGTTTCACAATGATTACTTACATAGATAATCTCTTAGTTATGCAGTGCATTTCGGACAAAAGGTAAATTTGGTAAGAAAGAACACTCACTTTTTGTCCTTAAGGTTGGCGAGCGCTGGTGTGAGAACGTCCGCGTCCAGGAAAGTTTCTGTTATTGATGGTGAGGACTGAGTGAGGAACTTCCTCACAAGAACAGTAGCTTCGAGTTTTTTCGCCATCTCTTCACTCTGCATGTCCTCTACGATCCTCACAGCATCTTCCTTACCATTTAGTACTGGCTGCAAAGTGACAGTATGACATAAAACATTTTAATATATGAACTTCATGCTGATGCGTATATATATATATATATATATATATATATATATATATATATATATATATATATATATATATATATATATATATATATATATATAGATCTCTGGCTGAAGGAGACTCGAACCTACGAACCTTGGAACAAAGTATGCAGTGCTTTACCAACCGTGCTACACTGGCCCAATACCTTGGCGCCCAGCTCACGCTAGACGTTTTGATACAAGGCAGCCAGCTTTCAAGCAGGAGGCTTACAGCTTTTCATCTCATCCCCTGCATGCATCAGCCTACTAGATGAAAAGCTACGAGATGAAAAGCTGTAAGCCTCCTACTTGAAAGCTGGCTGCCTTGGATCAAAACGTCTAGCGTGAGCTGGGCGACAAGGTATTGGGCCAGTGTAGCACGGTTGGTAAAGCACTGCATACTTTGTTCCAAGGTTCGTAGGTTTGAGTCTCCTTCAGCCAGAGATCAGAAAAAATATAATATATATATATATATATATATATATATAAATATATATATATATATATATATATTTAAAATTATATATATATATATATATATAATATATATATACACATATATTTTTTTTTTCAACAGTCGGCCGTCTCCCACCAAGGCAGGGTGACCAAAAAAGAAAGAAAATCCCCAAAAAGAAAATACTTTCATCATCATTCAACACTTTCACCACACTCGCACATTATCACTGTTTTTTGCAGAGGTGCTCAGAATACAACAGTCTAGAAGCATACACATATAAAGATACACAACATATCCCTCCAAACTGCCAATATCCCAAACCCCTCCTTTAAAGTCAGGCATTGTACTTCCCATTTCCAGGACTCAAGTCCGACTATATAAAAAATAACCGGTTTTCCTGAATCCCTTCACTAAATATTACCCTGCTCACACTCCAACAGATGTCAGTCCCAAGTACCATTCGTCTCCTTTCACTCCTATCTAACACGCTCACGCACGCTTGCTGGAAGTCCAAGCCCCTTGTCCACAAAACCTCCTTTCCCCCCTCTCTCCAACCCTTTCGAGGACGACCCCTACCCCTCCTTCCTTCCCCTATAATTTTATATGCTTTCCATGTCATTCTACTTTGATCCGTTTCTCTCTAAATGACCAAACCACCTCAACAACCCCTCTTCTGCCCTCTGACTAATACTTTATTAACTTCACACCTTTTCCTAATTTCCACATCCGAATTTTCTGCATAATATTTACACCACACATTGCCCTTAAACAGGACATCTCCACTGCCTCCAACCGTCTCCTTTCGCTGCTGCATTTACCACCCAAGCTTCACACCCATATAAAGTGTTGGTACTACTATACTTTCATACATTCCCTTCTTGCCTCCATAGATAACGTTTTTTGACTCCACATATACCTCAACGCACCACTCACCTTTTTTCCCCCATCAATTCTATGAAATTTAAACCCCATCCTTCATAAATCCATCCGCCGACACGTCAACTCCCAAGTATCTGAAAACATTCACTTCTTCCATACTCCTCCTCCCCAATTTGATATCCAATTTTTCTTTATCTAAATCATTTGATACCCTCATCCCTTACTCTTTTCTATGTTCACTTTCACTTTCTACCTATACACACATTCCCAAACTCATCCACTAACCTTTGCAATTTTTCTTTAAATCTCCCCTAAGCCAGTATCATCAGCAAAAAGTAACTGTGTCAATTCCCATTTTGAATTTGATTCCCAAAATTTAATCCCACCCCTCTCCCGAACACCCTACATTACTTCCTTTACAAACCCCCTCTATAAATATATTAAACAACCATGGTGACATTACACATCCCTGTCTAAGACCTACTTTTACCGGGAAGTAGTCCTCCCTCTCTTCTACACACCCTAACCGAGCCTCACTATCCTCATAAAAACTCTTTACAGCATTTAATAACTTACCACCTATTTTCCCTATACTTGCACATCTGCCACATTGCTCCTCTATCCACTCTATCATATGCCTTTTCTAAATCCATAAATGCAATAAAAACTTCCCTAACTTTATCTAAATACTGTTTTACATATTGCTTCAATGTAAACACTTGATCTAACATCCCTACCCACTCTGAAACCTCCTTTCTCATCCGCAATCCCACATTCTGTCTTACCTCTAATTCTTTCAATTTTAACCCTACCGTACACTTTTTCCCGGTATAAATCAGTAAACTTATTCCTCTATAATTTTTACAGTCTCTTTTGTCCCCTTTCCCTTTATATAAAGGGACTATACATGCCTCTCCGCCAATCCCTAGGTACCTTCCCCTCTTTCATACATTTATTAAACAAAAGTACCAAAACCCCTCCAACACTATATCCCCCCCTGCTTTTAACATTTCTGCCATGATGCCATCAGCTGCTTTACCCCCTTTCATTTTACGTAATGCCTCACGTACCTCCCCCACACTTACATTCTGCTCTTCTTCACTCCTAAAAGATGATACCTCCCTGACCAGTGCATGAAATTACTGCCTCTGTTTCTTCCTTAACATTTAAAAGTTTTCCCCAAAATATTCTCGCCATCTACTTAATACCTCCATCTCCCCAATCTTTCTAACTCCCCCCACTCTGTTTTTAACTGACAAATCCATATTTTCCCTAGGATTTCTTAACTTGTTTAACTCACTCCAAATTTTTTTTTTTATTTCATTAAATTTTTTGACAGTGCTTCTCCCACACTATCATCTGCCTCTCCTTTTGCACTCTCTCACCACTCTCTTTACCTTTCTTTTACTCTCCATTATCTGCCTTTTTTAAACACTTTTTCTTTTTAAAAAAACCCCAAAAAACCTTTTTTTTTTTTTTCCCCCCCCCTTTTTTCCTTTTTCCCCCCCCTTTTTTTTATTTTTTTTTAAAAAAAAAATTAAATTTTTTTAAAAAAAAAAATTATTTTAAAATTTTTTTTTTTTTTTTAAAAAAAAGGGTTTAAATGCCCCCCCCCTTTTCCCCAAAATTTTTTTTTTAATTAAAAAAAAAAAACCCCAAAAAAAAAATTTTCCTTTTTTTTGGTTTTTTTTAAAAAAATTTTTTTTTTTGGGGTTTAAAAAAACCCCCTTTTTTTTTGGTTTTTTTTTAAAATTTTTTTTTCCCCCCAAAAAATTTTTAAAACCCCCCCAAAAAAAATTTTAAAATTTTTTTTTTTTTAAAATTTTTTTTTTTCCCCCTTTTTAACCCCCCCTTTTTTTTTTTCCCCCAAAAAAAAAATTTTTAAAAAAATTTTTTAAAAAATTTTTTAAAAAAAAATTTTTTTTTTTTTAAAAAAAATTTTTTTTTTTTTTAAAAAATTTTTTTAAAATTTTAAATTTTTAAAAATTTTTTTTTTTTTTTTAAAAAATTTTTTTAAAAAAAATTTTTTAAAAAAAAAAAAAAAAATTTTTGTTTTGTAAAAACCCCAAATACCTTTTTCTTTTTACAACCCTTTTTTCATATGAACCCCTTTTTTTTCCCCCTGCCCCCCCTTCCCAACCCAAATTCGACTTCTTACTCCTTTAAAATTTAGTCCACCTCCAAACCCCCATCTTATATTTTCAAAACCCATTTTCTCCTGCCCTTTAATATCTTGGCTTTTTTTTTTTAAATTTCAAAATTTTTTCCCCTCCTTTTCTTTACAATTTAATGGGGACAACTAAATTTCCGTATACAATTCAAAGAGAACTGAATCCCATAACCTTTTACAATTTACTTATTAATAAAAAACTTTATTCGTGTAATAAAAAATTGAATTTTTTCCTCAAAAAAGAACTTAAATTTTTTCTAAAATGGGAATTAAAGGGTTAAATTAATTTCTGGGGAACCAAAAATACACCCTATAACATTTTAATTAAGAGAAAATAAAATTTAAATTATTGATTCAAATATAATTTTAAAAGTGGCCCTTTCCCACGAGCACGGGTGACCAAAAAAAAAGGAATCCCCAAAAAGAAATTGGAATTAATAAATTTGAAAGCCTTTAAAATTTTTTGGAGGTGTAGATAAAGCTAGAAGCTAAATAAAATTTAAATGGGAAATAATTTTTTCCCCCTTTAAAGGAGGCTTGTATTACCTTTTTAAAAATTTTATATAGGTAAAATAATTTTGAAAAATAAATAATTAACACCCAATGATGTGGGGTCAAGAATTTTTGTTTATTATTTAGTAAAACGTTATAACCCTTCGGAAAAGTAAGGGGCCCCACAAAACAAACTCTTTCCCCTTAAAACCCTTTCAAGGAGAAAAACCCGCCCCCCAAAAGATGTAGTTTATTACTACTTGAACTTTAAAATACCAAAAACATTAAATCTTGCCTGACAATACTTTTTTTCCCCAAATTTTAATTTAAAATAAATTGTTTGCAAATTATTTACAAAATGCCTTAAAGGGATTCCATGATAGTTTGGGATTTAAAAGTTCACAATAAAAGAGTTTTATACAATTATACAACAGGGGTTAAAAAAAAAAAATTTTAAATTCAAATTACCAAGACATCATTTTTTAATTTTCAAAATTTTAAAAAAATGGAGTAATCCCAAGAAAAACCCGGAAACAATTTTTTTTTTCCCCCTAATATAGAATTTTTTTATAATATTTGAATATAAATTTTTTTAGAATTTTAAATTATTAAAGCTTTTCCCCAATCACAAATTTAAAAAATTTTTTTAGGAACCTTAGGGGCAGTTCAGAAAAAAGGAAAATTGGGGGTTTTTTGGAGTTTCCCAAATTTTAAAAATTAAAAAAAAGGGGGGTTTATTTTATTTAAAAAATTTTTAATGACAGTGTTTGTTGGATAGTTTTGGTAGATAAAAGACTGTTGAGTAGACTTCAGGATGTACATGTTTATAGAGGGGCCACAGATAATCAGATCACTTCTAGTTGTAGCTACACTGAGAGTAAAAGGTAGATGGATACAAGGAGAATAGAACATCAGGGAAGAGAGAGGTGAAGGTTTATAAACTAAAAGAGAGGCAGTTAGGGTAAGATAAAAAACAGCTATTGGAGGATAGATGGGCTAATAGAGCATGGGCCAATGGGTCGAAGAGGTAGGGGTAGGTTTAAAAATGTAGTGTTAGAGTGTTCAGCAGAAGTTTGTGGTTACAGGAAAGTGGGTGCAGGAGGGAAGAGGGGGCGATTGGTGGAATGATGATGTAAAGAGAGTATAAGGGAGAAAAATTAGAAATATGAGAAGTTTTTACAAAGTAGAAGTGATGCAAGGAGGGAAGAGTAATGGAGAAAAAGAGAGAGGTTAAGAGAGTGGTGAAGCAATGTAAAAAGGGGAAGCAAATGAGAGAGTGGGTGAGATTTTTATCAACAAATTTTTTTTGAAAATAAGAAAAAGTTTTGGAGTGAGATTAACAAGTTAAAAAAGCCTAGAGAACAAATTGATTTTGTCAGTTAAAAATAGGAGAGGAAGTTATTAAATGAGATTAGAGGAAATTTGGGAAGAGGGAAGGAATATTTTGAGGAATTGTTAAATTTTTTGATGAAGATGGGGAAGCTGTGATTTCGTGTATAGGGCAAGGAGGAATAACATCTGTAGGAGTGAGGAAGAGCCAGTTGTGAGTGTGGGGGAAGTTCGTGAGGCAGTAGGTAAAATGAAAGGGGGTAAGGCAGCCGGGATTGATTGGATAAAGATAGAAATGTTAAAAGCGGGTGGGGAAATAATAGTTTTGGAGGGGTTTGGGTGCAATTATTTAATAAATGTATGGAAGAGGGTAAGGTACCTAGGGATTGCAGAGAGCATGCATAGTTCCTTTGTATAAAGGCAAAGGGATAAAAGAGAGTGCAAAAATTATAGGGGGATAAGTCTGTTGAGTGTACCTGGTAAAGTGTATGGTAGAGTTATAATTGAAAGAATTAAAGTAAAGGGAGAATAGGATACAGATGAGCAAGGGGCTTTAGGAAAGGTAGGGGTGTGTTGACCAGTGTTTACAGTGAAACATATAAGTGAACAGAAATTTTGATAAGCTAAAGAGGTCTTTGTGGCATTTGGATTTGGAAAAAGGCGTATGACGGGGTGGATAGGGGGGCAATGTGGCAGATGTTGCAAGTGTATGGTGTAGGAGGTAGGTTACTGAAAGCAGTGAAGAGTTTTTACGAGGATAGGGGAGGCTCAAGTTAGAGTATGTAGGAAAGGGGGAAAATTTTTTTCCCATAAAAGTAGGCCTTAGACAAGGATGTTGATGCCCACCGTGGTTGTTTAATATATTTATAGATGGGTTGTAAGAGAAGTAAATGCGAGGGTCTTGGCAAGGGGCGTGGAGTTAAAAGATAAAGAATCACACACAAAGTGGGAGTTGTCACAGCTGCTCTTTGCTGATGACACTGTGCTCTTGGGAATTCTGAAGAGAAGTTGCAGAGATTGGTGGATGAATTTGGTAGGGTGTGCAAAAGAAGAAAATTAAAGGTGAATACAGGAAAGAGAAAGGGTTTTATGAGGAAACAAAAAGATTGGGTGATGAAAGATTGAATATCAATTGGAGGGAGAGAGTAGGGAGGAGTGAACGTATTCAGATATTTGGGAGTGGACGTGTCAGGGGATGGGTCTATGAAAGATGGGGTGAATCATAAATTGATGAGGGAAAAAGAGTGAGTGGTGCACTTAGGAGTCTGTGGAGAAAAAGACTTTGTCCTTGGAGGCAAAGAGGGAATGTATGAGAGTATATTTTTTACCAACGCTCTTATATGGGTGTGAAGCGTGGGTGATGAATGTTGCAGCGAGGGGAAGGCTGGAGGGAGTGGAGATGTCATGTCTGGGGCAATGTGTGGTGTGAATATAATGCAGAGAATTCGTAGTTTGGAAGTTAGGAGGAGGTGCGGGATTACCAAAACTGTTGTCCAGAGGGCTGAGGGAAAGGGTTGTTTTAGGTGGTTCGGACATGTTTGAGAGAATGGAGCGAAACAAATGACTTCAAGAGTGTATCAGTCTGTAGTGGAAGAAGGCGGGGTAGGGTCGCCTAGGGAAAGGGGTTTGGGGGGGAGGGGGAAAGGAGGTTTTGTGTGCGAGGGGCTTGGACTTTCCCGCAGGCATGCGTGAGCGTGTTTGATAGGAGTTTAATGGAGACAAATGGTTTTTAAAACTTGACGTCTTTTGGAGTTGTGACAAAGTAACATTTATGAAAGGGATTCAGGGAAACCGGCAGGCCGGACTTGAGTTCTGGAGATGGGAAGTACAGTGCCTGCACTCTGAAGGAGGGTGTTAATGTTGCAGTTTTAAAACTGTAGTGTAAAAACACCCTTCGGCAAGACAGTGATGGGGTGAATGATGGGAAAGTTTTTCTTTTTCGGGCCACCCTGCCTTGGTGGGAATCGGCCGGTGTGATAATAAAAAAAAATAATAAATATATATAAATATATAATATATATAAATATATATTTTTAACAAAACTGGCCGATTCCCACCAAGGCAGGGTGGCCCGAAAAAGAAAAACTTTCACCATCATTCACTCCATCACTGTCTTGCCAGAAGGGTGCTTTACACTACAGTTTTTAAACTGCAACATTAACACCCCTCCTTCAGAGTGCAGGCACTGTACTACCTCATTTATAGGCTCTTAGCCTATAAATGAGGTGGTGTAAAACAATAGGCTCTCTTACCTGATCCGTGTCTTCATTTTCATTTGATAACTCGTCAGAGATCTGCCGATGAAACGGAAATATCAAGAATTAACTGCGATTATTATTACTGTTATTATTATAAGGAAGTGGCAGACTCACAGGGGTCATAAAGTGCTTGGAGAGTAACAGGAGGTAATCAGGTGTTATCCAAGGAACGGGGGAGGAGCGGTAGCTCCAAGTCTTTGGGTTAAACTTCAGGAAATCCCCCTTCCACCACCTCCTTGAAGTGTAACATCAGCATTTAGTCTGACAATAAAGTAAGAGTTTCATGTAAGAGTGAATGAATTCCTTCAAGAAGCTAACAATTTGATATACAACTTTATAAAAAAAAGTTAGACGAATATGACTGGAAAAAGCATAGAATTTCAGAACGTGCAGCATAAGCCACTGAAGTGTTCATCCATACTCAGGTATTTATATCAAACTGAAAATGATGGTTAGTTAAATTAAAACATTGGTATGCTTACCATAGGTCTCTTCTCCATATCTTGTGGGTGATCAGAAGACTAGAGAAGAACGACATTCAGTATTATTGAATACAACGGGATTATGTTGATTATAACCACATGTGCATCTATTTATGTACATAAATATTTACAAAAATCTTTAAGAAAGCAACTAGAAACAATTTATGCAAATCTCCCGGAAAATCATTTATAATACAGTACTAAGTATATGTAAAAAAAAAAAAAGTAACTTCACTCATGCGCCCTTGAGTTCAAAAAAAAAATATATATAGTGTTTTAAAATGATGGACCAAATTTCAGTATACACCGCTTTGAAATTAGGCCAATCATTTTGAAACACCCTGGGTGTGCGCAACATACATTGCTGGGTGGTGCTGCCGCTGTTGGCCGGGATGATGCTGACGGCTGCGGGAAAAACATACCGAGTCTAAGCTAACCATCCTAACAAAGGCAACATAAAACGTGTAGAGTTGAGATACAAAGTATATGCGTTATCACAACCAAAACTAACAGTAATATCCAGAAACACAAGGGCACATACTAGCACATGCAGAGCTACATATTAGCACATGCAAAAGGCTACATTTTTAAATAAACGTAAACCTACATGCTAGCACCTAAACCAGGCTACACACTAGCACATAAACCTGGCTATATACTAGCACATAAAACAGGCTACATACTGGCACATACAAGGCTACATACTTTTACATACAAAAAGCTACATCTTAGCGCATATACTTGCACATACATAAGATTCCATATATGGCTGCATACACAAGCTACATATTTATATATTACGCACACACACGTACATACTAGTACATAAACACTGCAGCGTATTTGTATGTATGTATATATATATATATATATATATATATATATATTATATATATATATATATATATATATATATATATATATAGATATAGATATATATATATAGATAGGAGTGAATGGAGACGAATGGTACTTGGGACCTGACGATCTGTTGGAGTGTGAGCAGGGTAATATTTAGTGAAGGGATTCAGGGAAACCGGTTATTTTCATATAGTCGGACTTGAGTCCTGGAAATGGGAAGTACAATGCCTGCACTTTAAAGGAGGGGTTTGGGATATTGGCAGTTTGGAGGGATATGTTGTGTATCTTTATATGTGTATGCTTCTAGACTGTTGTATTCTGAGCACCTCTGCAAAAACAGTGATAATGTGCGAGTGTGGTGAAAGTGTTGAATGATGATGAAAGTATTTTTCTTTTTGGGGATTTTCTTTCTTTTTTGGGTCACCCTGCCTCGGTGGGAGACGGCCGAATTGTTGAAAAAAAAAAAAAAAAAAAAAAAAAAAAAAAAAAAAAAAAAAAAAAAAAAATATATATATATATATATATATATATATATATATATATATATATATATATATATATAATATATATATATATATATATATATGTCGTGCCGAATATGTAAAACTGGTCAATTAGCAAGAACTCATTTAAAATTAAGTCCTTTCTAAAATTTTCTCTAAAAATGTTTAAAGATATGTATTTTTCACTAATGTTAATATAATTTTTTTTAATTTTACTCCAAAAGAATCTTAGAAAACTTACCTAACCTTATTATAACAAGAACAATTTATTTTAGCCTAATCCAACTATATATATTTTAGATTTGTTTACAATAATTTAATACTAAACAAACACAGTGAAATATATTTTTTTCGTTAGGTTCAGAATAATTTTGGCGAAATTATTGCATACACAAATTTTCACTTGTCCTATATGGCAAGATGAACGTTGCTATTTAAGCCAAGATTGTAAGTTCTGCCTATTCGGCACGACATATATATAATATATATATATATATTATATATATATATATATTATATATATATATATATATATATATATATATATATATATATATATATATATATTTTTTTTTTTTTTTTTCAACAAGTCGGTCGTCTCCCACCGAGGCAGGGTGACCCAAAAAAGAAAGAAAATCCCCAAAAAGAAAATACTTTCATCACTCAACACTTTCACCTCACTCACACATTATCACTGCTTTTGCAGAGGTGCTCAGAATACAACAGTTTAGAAGCATATACGTATAAAGATACACAACATATCCCTCCAAACTGCCAATATCCCAAACCCCTCCTTTAAAGTGCAGGCATTGTACTTCCCATTTCCAGGACTCAAGTCCGACTATATGAAAATAACCGGTTTCCCTGAATCCCTTCACTAAATATTACCCTGCTCACACTCCAACATATATATATATATATATATATATATATATATATATATATATATATATATATATATATATATATATATATTTTATATTATATATATATATGTATATATATATATATATATATATATATATATATATATATAAATAAGAACACTGAAAGACTCTTAATATTTCACATATTATTCAGCACTACTAATGATATACTAAACTTTTATGTTCAAAATAATGACCAAAAAACTTTCAATATTCTCACAGATTTGCGTTTAGCCGAGGAAGGTACGAGTCGCAGGTTAGATGAACCAGTGACATCATGTTCACAGGAAGCAACACTTCCTAGAGGTTCATCAGGAATTTGTTCACCAGGAACAACAGATTCATCAGGAACATTTTCATCAGGGACAGTGGAATTGTCAGGAACATGTTCGTCAGGGACAGTGGAGTCGTCAGGAACAGGTTCATCAGGGACAATGGATTCGTCAGGAACATGTTCATCAGGAACGACAGATTCGTCAGGCACATGTTCATCAGGAACGACAGATTCGTCAGGAACATGTTCATCAGGAATGACAGATTCGTCAGGAATAACATATGGGTTCTGTAGGGAAGAAAGTCTCACAATAATAC